CCTGCCTCAGCCTCCCGAGTAGCTGGGACTACAGGCGCCCGCCACCACGCCCGGCTAATTTTTTTTTTTGTATTTTTAGTAGAGACGAGGTTTCACCGTGTTAGCCAGGATGGTCTCAATCTCTTGACCTTGTGATCCGCCCCCGCCTCGGCCTCCCAAGCATAAAAATTTTTAAAGGAAACTGAGTTTTTTTTTTATTGTGATAAAGCATTTATAACCAAAAATAGACTATTTTAATTATTTAGGTGTGCAACTCAGTGGCATTAAACTCCTGCAACCATCACCCCCATCCACCACCAAAACTTTTTCAGCTATTTAATTTTTGCCTCTTTCTGTAATCATTTCAAGCAAAAGTAAAAACGAAGAAACAAAAGGCAAAAGCCCTACCAGAGACGCACCTCAAAGACTCCAACAAACATTTTGGGTGTTTTAAGGCTTCACACGCCATCCTTACATCCTCTTCTTTCAGGTGGGTGCCTCCCAAATTGAGGGATCTTAGGTTACGGTTGGCAATGAGGGTTCTCCAGAGGTGCTGCAGACCAGAGGCAATCTGCTGCAGTGAACTAGGATCTTACCACTGCACTCAGCCTGGGCAACAGAGCGACTCCATCTCAAAAAAAAAAAAAAAAGACCAGACTGGGCAACCAAACGAGACCTTGCCTCTGCATAATTTTTTTCTTTTTCTTTTTCTTTTGAGATGGAATCTCGCTCTATCACCCAGGCTGGAGTGCAGTGGCGCCCTCTCGGCTCACTGCAAGCTCTGCTTCCCAGGTTCAGGCCATTCTCCTGCCTCAGTCTCCCGATTAGCTGGGACTACAGGCGCCCACCACCACGCCTGGCTAATTTTTTTTTGTATTTTTAGTAGAGACGAGGTTTCACTGTGTTAGCCAGGATGGTCTTGATCTCTTGACCTTGTGATCCGCCCCCGCCTCGGCCTCCCAAGCATAAAAATTTTTAAATGAAACTGAGTTTTTTTTTTTATTGTGATAAAGCATTTATAATTGAAAATGGACTATTTTAATTATTTAGGTGTGCAATTCAGTGGCATTAAACTCCTGCAACCATCACCACCATCCATCACCAAAACTTTTTCATCTTTGCGGCTCTTTAATTTTTGCCTCTTTCTGTAATCATTTCAAGCAAAAGTAAAAACGAAGAAACAAAAGGCAAAAGCCCTGCCAGAGACGCACCTCAAAGACTCCAACAAACATTTTGGGTGTTTTAAGGCTTCACACGCCATCCTTACATCCTCTTCCTTCAGGTGGGTGCCTCCCAAATTGAGGGATCTTAGGTTACGGTTGGCAATGAGGGTTCTCCAGAGGTGCTGCAGACCAGAGGCAATCTGCGCGTTCCTAAACCTGCAGGAGACGGGAAAGGGGAGATGCATGTGACACTGGTGACGTTTTGTTGTGACCTCATTTATCTTCCCATCCTTCTCCCATTCTAACTTGCAAATTTCTAATTGTATTTCCTTGTAAAGCAACGAATACCTGAGTGCCTGTGATGGGCCAGCTACTGGGAATAGCGTATGAAGCAGTATTAGCAATCCCTGCCTTGAAGAGTTTAATCCATCCAAACCCGTCCAAACCTGGTGTCAAGGAACCTGCTTCAGTAACACCACAAGGTTTTTGTTTGTTTTTTTTTTTGAGATAGAGTCTCGCTCTGTTGCCCAGGCTGGAGTGCAGTGGCGCGATTTTGGCTCACTGTAACCTCCACCTCCCTGGTTCAATCAATTCCCCTGCCTCAGCCTCTCAAGTAGCTGGAATTACAGGCACGTACCACCATGCCATACTAATTTTTTTTTGTATTTTTAGTAGAGCTGGGGTTTCACCATGTTGGCCGGGCTGGTCTCGAACTCCTAACCTTGTGATCCTCCCGCCTCAGCCTCCCAAAATGCTGGGATTACAGGCGTGAGCCACTGCGCCCGGCCGATCACAAGGTCTTTAGCAACTCCCCACTTTGTGCTTTTGGGAACTTGGTTCCTACACCTTGGGTGGCACTGATGCCCTCAGGCTGAGCTTGAGGGGTTTCAGATGGGTCTCCTCTCAGGAGGTAGGGGAGAGCTGGGACAGCGTCATGGGACGTGATTCTCTCGTAGGGGGTGGGCAGCCTTACCTCAGGGTCTGTATCTTGCAGGTGGGATGCCTCAGCTTGGCACACAGGGTCTTCATGGCCCGCTCTGTCAGGATGCTGCTGCCCAGGTCCAGCTGCCGCAGGTGGGGGTGGGTGCTGAGCACAGAGCAGAAATCTTCCCACTGATCCTCCATGAGGGTCTTACCCCGCATCCTACATCAGGGGATAGAAACAGGGGCTCGTGGGATGGAGTTTAATATGAGCAATTGTGGTAACATGTCGGAGAGGGACAGAGCTATCGAGGCACGTCCTATGTTGTGGGGGACAGAAATATGGGCTTGTGGGATGGAGTTTAAGGTGAACAATCGTGGCAACATGTCGGAGGAGAGGGACTGAGCTATCGAGGTGAGACTGGGGCAGCTTTAGAGACTCTGAGGCAACTTAGCGGCTGCCATCACGCTTTGCACGACTAGCCCTGCGTCCACCCTGCCTCCTGGATATATTGATACCCGAGGGGGTATGCAGGCATGACTAGGAACCGCCAGCTTCTGAGTCAGATCTTTTGTTTTTTTTTTTTTTTGAGATGGAGTCTCACTCTGTCACCAGGCTGCAGTGCAGTGGCGTGATCTCAGCTCACTGCAACTTCTGCCTCCCGGGTTCAAGCGATTCTCCTGCCTCAGCCTCCCGAGTAGCTGGGACTACAGGCGCCCTCCACCATATGCAGCTAATTTTTGCACTTTTAATAGAGATGGGGTTTCACCATGTTGGCCAGACTGGTCTCAAACTCCTGATCTCATGACCTGCCCCTGCCTCGGCCTCCCAAAGTGCTGAGATTACAGGTGTGAGCCACCGTGCCTGGCCCTGCATCAGGTCTTTGCTTCAATTCCAGCTCCACTTGAACGTAAAACTGTGCAACAGCTTTGGAAAACAGTACAGAGGTTCCTTAAAAAATATTAAAATAGAGCTACTGTAGGACCTAGCAATCCTACCTCTGGGTGTAAGCCCAGAAGAACTGAGATCAGGATGCAGAAGAGGTATTTGGTCTCCCACGCTCACTCTGACATTATTCATAACAGCTCAGATGTGGAAAACTTACATGTCCATCCATGGATGAACAGATAAACAACATGTGATACGGCCAGGCGCAGTGGCTCACGCCTGTAATCTCAGCACTTTGTGAGGCCGAGGCGGGCAGATCACCTGAGGTCAGGAGTTGGAGACCAGCTTCTACGTGGAGAAACCCCGTCTCTACTAAAAATACAAAATTAGCCAGGCGTGGTGGTTCATGCGTGTAATCCCAGCTCCTCGGGAGGCTGAGGCAGGAGATTCGCTTGCACCTGGGAGGCAGAGGTTGCAGTGGGCCGAGACCGCGCCATTGCACTCCAGCCTGGGCAACAAGAGGGAAATTCCATCTCAAAAAAACAAAAACAAAAAAACAAAAACATGCTATACATACGTAAACAGAGTATTACTGATCCTTAAAGGAAGACATTCTACCGTTTTTGACAGTGTGGATGAACCTGGAGGATACTGTGTTAGGTGAGCTATACCAGTCACAGAAGGAAAAATACTGCATGATTCTACTTTGTTTTGGAGACAGAGTCTCTGTCGCCCGGGCTGGAGTGCAGTGGCATGATCTTGGCTCACTGCAACCTCTGCCTCCCAAGTTCAAGTGATTTTCCTGCCTCAGCCTCCCAAGTAGCTGAGATTACAGGTGCCCACCACGCCCAGCCAACTTCTGTATTTTCAGTAGAGACGGGGTTTCACCATGTTGGTCAGGCCGGTCTCGAACTCCTGACCTCAGGTGATCTGCCTGCCTCGGCCTCCCAAAGTGCTGGGATGACAGGTGTGAACCACCACCACACTCGGCTCATGATTCTACTTTGAAATATCTAAAATTACAGAAAGTAGAATGGAGGCTGCCAGGTGACTGGAGAGCCGGGGAGATGGAGATTATTGTTCCATGGCTGTGAAGTGTCAGTTATGTGAGATGAAAAAGTTCTAGAGATCTGCTGTACAATGTCGTGCCTGTAGTTAATATTGTATTGTCCACCTAAAAATTGGAGCCATTAGTCTCCCGTCCACTGGCAATCATCTCCTGTCTGAGTTTGTACCTTCCCACGTGTGTGAACAGGGAGCTAACTTCATGGGTTTGCCCTGAAGAATAAAAGAAACAGAGGCCGGGCGCGGTGGCTCACGCCTGTCATCCCAGCACTTTGGGAGGCTGAGGCGGGAGGATCACAAGGTCAGGAGTTTGAGACCAGCCTGACCAACATGGTGAAACCCCGTCTCTACTAAAAATACAAAAGTTAGCCGGGTGTGGTGGTGGGCAACTGTATTCCAGCTACCCAGGAGGCAGATATTGCAGTGAGCCAAGATCTTGCCACTGCATTCCAGCCTGGGTGACAGAGCAAGACTCCGTCTCAAAAAA